AACGCTGCGGTCCCTCCCAGCCCGGCCCGTTCTGGGGGGCCGTGAACTGGTGGTGCCGGGTTTCAAGTCCCTTCCTGCTGCAGCCTTACGGTTCGAGTGAACCGACTCCTCTAATTAATTTTTTTCCCGTTTAAGTATAATTTAGGCTCTCTGAAGCGTTATTCTGATTTGTGCGTAATCAGTGATTCCTGATAAGCATTTAAAAAAAAATCCTGCAGTCTTTCTTCGGTAGCAGCCTGCTTTTCTTCAGCGTCCGGTGTGAAAGTTTACTTCTCTCTCTGTGCATTTATATACTAATTACATTTAAATATATACACGTTCTCTCCTTTTCAACCATTTTAACCTCTGCACGTGCTCTGAAGATGCCGATGGTCCATTTCCGGTGGATTTTTGTCACTCCTGTGCTCTCATTCTGCATTTTTGTAACTCTTTCCAGTTTTCTCAGAGCACACATAATCTTAATTGATAACTGTTACGGATTTCTTACCTTTTACTTATTCATCTTCTTTCTGTCTGTTCATAAATTGCGTAGAAACTGTCACCAGGAATCCTACAACTTTTAATAGAGCACTGGGCAGGTAATACAAGGTGAGTCTTAGGTGAGTTGTCAGCTTAGAAACAGGTCTGTGAGGAGCACAGCAATGCTCTCTGAGTAGCAGTGCAGTCATGATAATATTTTAAGGTAGGTAGAATAATTTTCCTCGTTGCTTCTGTCTTTTGAAACAATTTCTCTAGTCCTTGCCTTGAGGTATCCTATTTCCTCTTTCTGCTTTGCTTTTGCAATAACAAATATTTGTACCCAACTGCAATGTTTAAAAGAAAACAAACAAAAGTCCCCCAGGGGAATTCGAAGAACTGCTGTGAGATCCTTCCAGCCAGGAGTGGGTGGCTGCGGAAGACTACTAAAATCATGGAATTCTGGGGTGGTTTGGGTTGGAAGGGACCTTAAGGATCACCCAGTCCCACCCCCTGCCATGGGCAGGGACACCTTCCAGTATCCCAGGTTGCTCCAAGCCTCGTCTAGAGCACAACCAATACAGTCACGGATCCTCCGGGAATATCCTCAAGCACAAACCAGTTTGTAACTCCCCGTGGTGCATCCCAGCTTTTGTGTTGGGAGAGGCAGCCACTGGTTGACTCGTGTGCTCTCTCTGCATGCCGAGATCTTGTAGACATCTGTGCCACCCCGGCTGAGGAGCCTTAGGCTGCCCTGTTGCTCCTCAGTGGCTGCACAGCCATGCCATGGCCTTGTTTCTTGTTGGAAACTCTCCTAGTCCCGCGCGCCCCTTGGAAGCTTGTGGGGTCGTTCGAGAGGAGTGGCTTTCTGAATCCTTTCCTGGTGCTTCCTGGTGCCCCTGGGTGGGGAGGGGACCCACAACTTCTGAGGATTTCTGCCTCTCCCCTGAGTTTGACTCGGGGACTTGGCTGATTTTTGCCGTTTTATTGTCCCATCACTCAGCCCCTTCAGTCCTTGATATTCCTCCTCAGGCCCACCTCGCATTGCCCCAGGAGGTCATTCATTTGCAAATGCTGATGGCACCAGCACTTAACCCCCAGAACAGCAAATTCCTTCCTTATTCCCTGATTGTTGGAATTACAAGCAATTTAAACTACTGTTACCAGACTTTCCCAGCCGTGGTATGTTGTTAGGAGAACTTGGACCTCCTCCTTGCCTGCTTTCCTTTGCTATCTTCCAGAAAAAATGTAAATATAATTTTGTTCACCTTAAACAAATGGTAATACAGGTGGTGAGTTGAATAGCTTCAGCTGTCCAGGATGGCATTATTCCACGGTGGTTTCCAAGGATAATTGGAGTGATAATTAATCTCATATTATTCCCCAACATACTGTTTGGTTATGTTTTTTCCTCCTTCACACTTTTAGTCAGCATCGGATTATTGGAAACGTTTGTATAGTTCAGTTACATCAACGACACTTCCACTGGGTTTTTTTGTTTAAGATGGTGTGGTTGTCTCTGACAAAGTGAAAAGCAACAACCTGGATGTGAAAATTCCCGAGTCAGAATTGGAAACCGAAGAAAAAGGAACGGAGGAAGAACCTACAAGGGAGTCAGATGGCAACATTTTGGATGTATCGTCTGATTTTCCACGAGGTTTGCTCTTAAACTCTAATATTTGTGTTGTGTGCTTGAGGTAGAGAAACAGGGGGAGAAAGGTGGTGTGTGAAATCTCATTTTACAGCTTTAAAACTCACCTATATATCCCAAGCACACGGATCAATTACTTTGTCTCTCATAAGAAAACCTGAAGATTGATCTTGGAAAAGACACTGTGAAGGTTAAAGTCACTATAAAATCAGTGTCAGTCTAAAGTGGGATGTTCTGTGTGCTGGAACCAATAAAGCAGATTTATTGGATAAGCTAATTCTCTTCTTTTTAACAAATTCTCCACTGTTCCCCTTGACTGGTAAGTTGGAAAATCAGGTGGTAGATTTAGAGGTTGAACAGTTTCCTAAGGGAGAGGGGGAAAAGTGGTAGAATTTATTGTATTCTGGCTCTACAGTGAATAATTTTTCTTAAAATTGGTCCAC